ACATGACTTATAGTCGTAGTTGATTTCAGCACCATGTTGCTTGAACAGCAGAGGCATGTGATAGACAGCAATCACCTTCATTTTCACCACCAAGCTTTCCAAAATCATCAAGATCAGATCGCGATTCTGAAAATAATTTATGACCCATTTTTCGATAAACTGTAATAAAATGTCATATGATCCTACCGCTTCTCCTTCCTTAGCATGTTTCGACAATCCTTCCAGAACACTGCTCAACATTCTGGCACATATAACTTGGATCTGAAAATTGCGAATATTACGTTTACAATGAAGGTAACAATTTTTCACTGAAAACATTTGAAGCGATTAATCTAACCTGATATGGCAACAGGTTGTCATGCATCTCCCGACAAAATATGAAGGCGACACTGAAAGAAGAATGCTAAGATGTGGATCAAATGCAGTAAATGCGAAACGAATAAAGACATACTGTGCCAGCATTTCAAAAGAGAGCGACGAGCGAACATGGTGAAGGAAATCTGCCATCGTTTGGTAGAAGTATCCTCTGAAATTTCAAAAATTACTATTTCATAATTTCTGTTACTTATCTCAAGTATTGATACTTTACTAAGAGATATGCAGAACATGCGAAAAAATTATAATCGTCTTCATACGAATGCCATCGACGCCAAATAGGAATCTCTTATGTTATTCTATCACCCTATGGGCTACAGGTCAAGGACTGCGCTCCATCGGCATTACATCGGTCGCAATAACGTTTATTTCTAATGTAATTTCCGTTTCTGTAGTCTTCATCCTATGGACACAGAGGGTAATTAGAATCACCGAACCCACAGCTTGAATCAAACCTAATCGGCTGCAACGTAATGCGACTGCTTGCTAGCCAGCGATCCCACTAAGGTAGTAGATTTGGGCCTCTATGGTTATTATAAGTGGCAGAGGTTCACCGAGTGGTGAAGCTGAATTTAGTCCTTCACAGGCGTAGCGCCACCAAAACAGTAGTGACATACGTCTAAGCCACGGAAGTAGCCAAATACTGATAGATTAGTACCCTGTACCGTCTTCTACTGTTGGAGCGCAAGAGATGGCAACCTGTATACTAAATACTCTCACAATCAGGGAGTAAAAAACTTCGCAACAAAGAAATTATTAAAGATACCTGAGATGATCAACAGCTGTATACCCAGAACCTATGAGAGCTACTTCAGATAGAAGTCTAGGCAGCAGTTGAATGAATTTGGGACGTAAATCCGATATGAAAAAGAACTTCAACGTAATCAGCACGTCTCTGAAAAATCGCAGGATGCATACGTAAACTGAACAGAATAAATTCAAAAATCTCACTTTCGAACAACAATCAGCTCTGCGGGACACTGTTCGAGCAAGGAAAGCACGCCATTAATGAAGCGGTCACCGTTTGCTAATATCTGCTCCATAAACTGAACACAGATGAAATTAAAACTTAGAAACCAATAAAAAGAATTAAAACACGCATACTTCTCGAATTTTCCCCATAATGCTCAAGTAAGCAAGCATTTTTGACTGTGCCGTGTAGAACTCGTCAGCCAGCGCTTTGTACTTCTCGTCAGCTTTCTGCTCATTCGAAATTTGTATGCCTAAGAAATCGAGACAGCAAAGCAAGAATTCCATTGCCTGAAAAGACTTTAGTAGCTGTAACAAAATAATGACATGGGTCTGTCTGAAGGGAACGTACCTCAGTTTGAACCCCAGCTTTGTGTGCTGATACTAATAAAATAACAACATGGGATGTCTGAAATTCAATGACTGACTGCTTCGTATAGCATAATTATACTGAAAACAACTTCAAGATCCCCCCCCCCCCCCCCCCCCCCCCCCCCCCCCCCCCCCCCCCCCCCCCCCCCCCCCCCCCCCCCCCCCCCCCCCCCCCCCCCCCCCCCCCCCCCCCCCCCCCCCCCCCCCCCCCCCCCCCCCCCCCCCCCCCCCCCCCCCCCCCCCCCCCCCCCCCCCCCCCCCCCCCCCCCCCCCCCCCCCCCCCCCCCCCCCCCCCCCCCCCCCCCCCCCCCCCCCCCCCCCCCCCCCCCCCCCCCCCCCCCCCCCCCCCCCCCCCCCACACACCACACCCACAACACTATCGCACATACATAATATATCCTCATCCAGATGTTGAAATACAGATAGTCCAAAAAACAGCGACGGCATGCCTCGCGTAGTGAAAACGTCACCCTTTAACACTCTATTATCAGTAATGACTAGAACTCTAATGTCAGACTGTTCTCCTATCATTATTGCCGCCACCACTCTAATCCATCAATACACATGTGAAGTGTTGGATTAGCTGAACTGCCGAAGCGCCAACTGCCCCTTCTATTCTTCCTGAACGAATACCATTTGAACAGACCTTGAATATATATATGTGTATTTCAGTGTGGAATTCGATTCTTGAACACGCGAAGAAGGCCTTCTCACACACCATCCTGCCGGCCCTCTTTCGAATGTAGCAGGATGCAGAATTCTGTATAACTTCACAAATTATGGTTTGACAATCGACTGGAATAGACTCCCACACCCTCCTCCTATTAAACAATGCACCGGTCCCCCAGGCGAATTCAATCATACGATTCCGAGCATATGAAAACACATTTCCTCACTGATTAACACATTGACGACCGCGCACGTTTTGGCTTTTTTGGCCACGTGGGACACAAGCAGTTTGGTGGGCGCGATCTTTGAGACGCGCAACCGCGTCTCACTGTCCAACAAGGATGCGTTTTTCGGAACTCAACGCTGAAAGTAGCGAAACAAGAGTGCAATGGGAGTTGGGTGGAGGACCAGTCGACGACACAGGGTGTCGGTGCCCCCTAAGTGGGAGAGTGATAACATTAGCGCAAAATAAGACACCGTAAAACGAAAGGGATATAGACAATTCAGGGAACTGGAGAGTAGAGAAAGCCCCTCGCAATGCATAAAACTAGAATGCGCTCTTCTACCTATGTTTCTCAGAGGACGCATTCAAACTGTAACGTCGCCGACTCTAGCCTCCCTCAACTCTCGAGGCGCCGAAACAAACAGGTTCAGCAACTCTGTTCAAGCATATCTGACCATTCCATGAAGCACGACGTTTATGGTTGGAGTAATGTATGACCTGCACAATCAATACAAATAACTTGGGGAAGGAGCCGCGCATGCGCTAGTAAAAGGGACGACAGAAGTGAGACGCGTAACCGCGTCTCAATGTCCATCGTGGTCTGCAAAATGAAACGTGTCGTCAATGTGTTAAAGAATGTACCACGTGCACGGCTTCCAATCTTCGCGACCTTTAAACGTTCATTCGACCTAGGCGAAACCCAGAGACACACCTATGTAGACCCTGTTTTCAAACTTCCGAAAAAAGAATTCACCAGCTACGTCCCAGTCGAGTGGACGTCAAGCTACATGAAAGGATCTATCACAAAAATCGAGTGCGAAGCTCTTCGTTAAGCCGCCGTGCCAGTTTAACCACTAACGTGATTTTCTTCGGAAGTTTCAATACGATGAAATCTTCTTGTTTATATATCAGCACCTCGCTATGCGGCTCAGCGCTTCTTACGACTGTTTGAATGCTGTTGCGCGAGTTCAGTGAATTAATCAAATATTCACAAAGATTTCAAATTCACGAACCAATGTGTCTAAGGTTCCATTTGGAGAGTATAGCAGAGCAGACTGTGTATAGTAGCATTGTTGAAGGTACTGAAAATAAAACCATATCCTCTCTCATTCAGTCTCTAAATTGAGGAAAATCCGCCAAACGTTACATTTTCTATCATTGCTTCTTCTGGTAGTTGAACTGAAGGATGCGTCAAATCTATCGTGTCAAAGGTGTGTGGTGTGGCCTTGACAGTGTGACACACATACATTTAACCCATTGCTTGAAATTTTGTAGCATCACAGATACCTAAACATGTAACACATAGATGACAATAACTGCCTGTTTATCATCGAAAGTGTCCACTAACCTCGGGTATCAGGTGAGAACGAGCAATCTTACTATGATCCACGACTATTTTAATGGCTAGTATGGCGTTTTCCTCATTCTCTAGCACAATAATTCGCATCATCTGCTTT